CGACTTTTTAATTAATTGGATGGCTTGTAAATTGCCCGAACCTTTCAAACGAACAACAGCATCAACAGCCAACTTAGCGAAATGTTCTTTGTGTTGAGATAAAATTTTAGAACTGAGAGTCGTTCGCGCGATGTTCATCAGATCTTCACGGAATTTTTCCAAATTCGAACTATTATCAGCAGAGGCATCTAGGAGGGCTTTTCTGGCGACATCTACCGCTTTACGCCAACCTGCGATGATTGTTTGTGGATGGATTTTTTGGTCTATGAGTTTTTCCGCTTCTTTCAACAATTCAGCAGCTGCAACGAAACAATGAATTTTGGGATAAATGTCAACAACACAACATACCCAAGACTGTGACTGAAGTAGTCCCATCGCCCACTTCATCATCCTGCACTTTGGACATGTCAACGAGAATTTTAGCAGCGGGGTTATCAACCCCCACAGCTTTCAAGATCGTAGCTCCATCATTTGTAACTTCGACTTGTCCTGCGTTTCTGCCGCTGGAAACCAAGATTTTGTCCATTCCTTTAGGTCCTAGAGTGCTTTTGACTAAATCTCCAATTGCGATGGCCCCCACGAAGCTTGACAAGCGGGCGATTTCGGCTTTCTCCTCCTCGGCTTCATGCTTTAAAACTCGCACGGGGTTTAGGGAGACCTGAAAAACGAATTTTCTTTGAAAATGATGCACGTGGGTTCGCCGGTTCAGGCACCATGACACACCTGGTTTTACTTTGTCTGGTTTGTGGGGGAATTTGTGGAATTTTGATTTTTTAGGTCATTTGGGACATAAATGTTGGGCTGAATTCCAATAACCTACCATTTTTGTTTGATTTATTCACGTTTTTCCTTTATATTTGCGATTTGTGTCCCGGAACAACCTCACTCACTGCTTAAACTGTCAAGTGTCAAAAATCGTAATGTGAAATACACTAAATGGTAGTGACAGAGACAAAAAAATTAAACTTAAACAAGAGAAAGTGAGATGGATTTATCCAGAAAACACCAAAATAAAAATACGAAAAGTACTAAAATATGTGATTACAAAAATAATGGAGGACTACAAGCGCCAGTTTTGATATTCGTAAGTTTTTTGATAATGGTATTGATAACAATCAAATATTTATTGTTTTACCTTTTTTTTTGATATGTAATTAGAATTACGAATGTGTTCATATAATACGAGAAACATCTTTATTATTGTATTATAACTTAATGTTTTCTTTCATAGGTTAGGTCACTTTCTTATTTTTAATTTTGTTCCTACTTATTTTTATTAAAAAAACGAAACATTTCTTTCAATATCCAAAAATTGCTAAATTAAGTAGTTATTCAAAACACATATTGACACATTTTTGCAGGATTTTTGCAAGATAAGATAAGTTTGTTTATTTAGGAAAATCCCACTTGAACCACATAAAAATCTTGTTTTGATAAATATCCACGATTAATTGATTGATCAGCGATAGATAATACCTCAAATTACACGTAACCAATTGCAAAACTCTCCAGTCTCCACCTCCATTTGAAATTTCTCATTACCTCATTCATTCTCCCTCTACTTATAATTTTAGTCAAGTTCTTTATCGCATCATACATTTCATTTAACGATAAAATAATTGTAATAAGTTTTTTATATATCGTTAATCCCTGTTACTTCTTTGATTTGTAGGTGAGTTTTGTAAAAAATAGGCGCTTAGTAAATAGAATGTCTCATTTGTCAATAACACTAATTTCGTGGTATTTACAGAACAAATTACCAAGAATATGACTTTTTTTCACCTTGCTAGGCGAAGCTTTTCTACAACAAAATTAAACAATGCTAGACACAGGTTTGTGTTTATTTATATTCAAGAGTAATAAATATTGAAAAATCAATTTTTAGTTGCAAGGTTCTAGTTGTGGGTGGAGGAACCGGCGGCTGCGCCACGGCTGCAAAATTCAGTAAAATAATCAAAAAGAATGAACTTATAATTCTAGAACCCAGCGAC